AGGAGACAGCAGATCAGGTCGAGTTGATCCGGCAGAGACTCAGGACAGCTCAGAGTTGTCAGAAATCTTCCGCCGATCATTATCGACGAGACATTCAGTTCGAGGTTGGTGAGCCAGCCTTTCTCAGAGTTGTGCGATTCGGAAAGAGAGGGAAGTTGCACCCTCGATTCATCGGCCCGTTCGAGGTTCTCGAACGAGTAGGCGAGGTCGCGTATCGCTTAGCTCTACCTCCCGAGTTATCAGGCATTCATAATGTATTCCACGCATGATGTTGCGTAAGTACGTGTGCGACCCCGATCATGTTATCCCTCATTCAGATATTCAGATTCAGTCAAATCTTTCGTACGAGGAGCGACCGGTAGCTGTCCTGGACCGTCAGGTTCGTCGGCTCCGGAAGCGAGATATTCCCCTCGTGCGCATTCAGTGGGATCGCCACGGAGCTACTTGGGAGGAGGAGTCCGATATTCGTGCTCGTTTTCCAGATTTTCAGTTTTAGTGTATTTTCATGTATATGTATTTTCAGTTATGTTCTGAATTTCCGAGGACGGAAATTTTGTAAGGAGGGAGGATTGTAATATCCCGACTTTTTAATCAGTATAATAATATTTTAGTTCTGATATTATTTTTCGGAATTAATTATTTTCAGTTATTTCAGTCGAAATTACCGGAACTATTTTCGACGTACCGTTTACGTTCGAAATAATTTTGGTAGTTAAGCATTATGTTTAATTTGATAATTAAACATAATTACGTGATTAATTTAACTTAATCACGAGATTAGTAATTGTTCGGATTTTATTCCGAGTTCATGTTCATCGCCGTGCGTTGGGTGCATTCATGTCGTGTGCGAGTTTCGGTCCGAGTTCATGTGTAAATGTCGTGCCCGTGTCCGTGCGTTGTGTTCATGAGTGCCGTGCGTACCTTAGTGGACGGAGTGTCCAAGGCTCGAGTTATCCGCGCCCAACATTTCCCTCATTGTCCGTGCAACTCCTTGGCATTTAGTGAGTGTGTATCCGCGCCCCATTGTCTCATGTTGCTAAGAGTCCGTGCGAGCCCTTGTCATGTAGCACTCTTGTCCCTTTTGTCCGCAATATCCGTGCATCATGTGAGCACTTTGACCGAGCACATTACTAAATTTTTCCTTGGCACATTCACGTGCATGAGACAAGCAGCCCCCTCATTTTCTCCGCCCATCATTCGGTTTTAAGGGAGGACTTGGGAAAATTTATGCATTTTGCTTCATTTCACTCATAAATGCCGAGAGAATAGAGAGCATTTTTCCCCAACACTTAGAATTTTTAAACAAAGCATTTTAGCCTTCTATCACTCGCGCGCCTAGTAATTATCGCGCGGAGTCCGTCGCGCGAGCAGCACCTGTACGCATCGCAACACACGCACGCACACGGAGGTCACGGCCGAGAGCTCGGGTGTTCGAAGAGTTTAGTCCGAAGGCTTAACAAGAGGTAAGTTCCCGTCGAATATGACCGGGAATATCATGTTTGTTTAAGATTAGAAGTTAAAATCGACATGCATGCGTGTTATAGCCATAGTCGTGCGTCATGATATTTTTTTAAGTAAATTCATCGAATCATGTTTTTATTTTCAAGGAATTCACCGGATAACCCTCGCATACTTAGCTTTTATTTGCGAAATTATGTTTATTTGAACTTATGTATTCGGGAGAATTTAGTCATGTTAATGAAGTGTTCGGCCGAGGGTAACGTGGTTGCGCACGTAGCGCACCACGGGCCGTGCTTGCATGCTCCATATGTTAAGTTAGTATTCTCCGAATAATCCCCGCATACTTAGTC